ACCAAACTCCACTAAACTTTGCCTCACAGTTTTGCAAGAGCAATGATGGAAAAGGGCAAGAGAAGGGAATAAGAAAATCTCTTACATTTTTTAGAAGAGCAGATACTGTACTTCGGCTGTCTCACAAATCTCAGGGCCTTTTTCCTACCAGATAAAAAGAAGCAAAAGAGGTCAACAAGCCACTCTCAAGCTGCCTGTGAGAAGCTTGTTGATGCTTCCTATTCCTTGCAATTACAGACTTTATGTGCCTTTTGAGACTAGGTACAGAGCAACTCAAAAGATTATTTGTGCCATCAACTTACTTCTTCTGTCCTGGTTAACTCCTAGACAGTCATCTGTCAGAAAGTAAAACAGAATCACATAATCAACTAGGTTGGAAAAGACTTTTGAGATCATGAAGTCCAACCTGTGACCTAACACCACCTTCTCAACTAACAGTGCATGGTATCTTTTTGACAAGCCCTGCTTGTCAAAAAGCAATGAAGTTGGGCCAAATCCCTTGATCCTTCAGGAAGATATGCACTGCACCCATAAGGCTTCAAGGAGTGGCCACTTCTTTTTGAAGCTTTCAATGAAAAAGACAGGGGCCGAGCAATTATGCCCTAAGTTTTTCCTTGGGTCTCCTGTTTTGCTTCCTCCAGGTGAACGGAGGCACTCTTTCTGTTCTTTCCTTCCTCCCCCTCTATGCTTCCTGAGCTTCTGCTCTGCTTTCTGTGGAGACCTGTTTGTGACTTACTGGTTTACCATCACAGAGCACCTGACTTCTTTAACATCGTACATGAAGCTTTATCAGAGCTGATGCAAGAAACTCTCTTATACAACATAGAATTTGAGAGTAAATATACCCACCTTGACATCCCCTTAAAGTTAGTCTCACAGGCAGTGCATGTGTCACACCATCTGCAAAGATAAAAGCGTGGCCAAACTGTACATGAAAACTGCCCCATTAGAAAAAGCTTCCTCTGTAGCACTGGCTGCTAACAGACATCCAGTCCTTCTGACTTGTAGTATGAGGGATACCTGGGGACTCGTTCCAAATCTGGATATTCTCTTATCTGGTTCAGAGCTGCCTTCTCAGCCCTTCAAAATCCTAAGAAAGCATTTTACATGTTTTTTAAGAATTTATTTTTTATTGTATTGTAATTGCCTTTTTTGTGTGTGTTGTTTTGCCATTCCTATAGACTCAAGGGTTGAAGGGCTACTAACTTAATCTCAGACCTTGTCTGTCACTCTGGAAGAAACACATCCCTTTCTAAACCTGGAGGATGCTGTTCGTGGGCTCTTTTTTGCTGCATCTTTATCAGACAGCAGCCCAAGTATAATGCTGCTGCTGACTTTGGCTTCTAACTTTGCTCAGTAACTAATGTTTAGAAAACATTTCATGCTAAACTATCTCTGAGTCTCTGAATTAGATAGCGTTAGATTTTTTTGTTCTTACACCGTAGTGTAGTATTTGCTATGGTTTTCCCTCCGAGTGGACAATCTTTCTGCAGCATGCAAATGCAGTTATCAAACAGACTTTAAAAGAAATCTTTTTGGTATATACTGTAACATTTAATTGAATTGCTATTTTGCAATATTTGCTGAATTTGAAAATCTTAATTTTTGGTTTAAATTGCATGATGAGAGTTCTTAAAATATTTAGGATTGTCTTACTGCCCTCTGCATGATCTTGTTTTAAATGGAATTATTATTCTGCCTTCTATAATCACTGGTCTAGCATAGACATAGACATCTTGGTTCTGTGGAGACCTGTTGCAGTAAAGCAGCCTAGGCCAGTCAGACCAGAAATGGGAAGGGACTGGAAAGGCAGAGGTGATAGTACTGCTGTACTTCTTGAAGAGCAGGAGTCTGGAGCATGAGACATCTTCTCTATTAAAAATTCTTTGTATAGGTGTTGGCATAAGCTAAAAACAATTCAGCATCCTGCTTTGGTTCAGGAACTTTTATTTGGCTGTAGCGGAAATAGGGTGACAAGGTTCAAATACAGAAGATATTCCTTCCTGATACTTGTCAGTGTAAAAAACGCCTTGGGAGCCAGGAGAAGATATGAAGATAAGATATATCTTATGTCATTTATATCCCCGAGGACCTCAGAAATGCTTTTGGAATATTTATATTCTGCTCTGTCTGTATTTATGCAATATCTCTGAAATGGGGAATTATACCTACCCTCATTTAATTAATCACAAAATGATGAGTGCAGAAACCCATAAATAGGTTCTCAAAGTCACACAGTATATCTCACTGATATAAATGAGAAGGAAATGTTAATAAAAAGACTCAGTCTTCACTGAAATGAATGATTTCAGACTTAGTGAAAATCCACACAGAGGGTGATACCACACCTTTCACTACAGACCTCTGCTTTACCACGTGGGCTACTACTGATTTGTAACTGCATTTTGGCAGGGATCTGAAGCTGTAGACATATTAAAAATAATCAAAATAAATAATTCTGATCTGTCCAATGAGCATTCCAATAATGAGCTCCTGCTTATTACCTTTTGAAGGCAATTTTTCCAGAGGCAATCTAAAAATTTCTGTGAAATTCTTAGGTGTCACTTTCCTAGCAGCAAGCAGCTGAAATGTCCGAAAGACTTGGCTCTTGAGAATGCAGTTCTTATACTAATAGAGGCAAACATACAGCTGTATATTTGCCTTATCTGAATTTCTGTATTGATAAACTGCAGTCTACAGGTTTTGACAAATCTGATTTTGATAAATCAGATTTTGATTTATGCCTTTTCCCTCAGTACCTTCTAAGACATTTTGATTTGACAAGGTAGAATGTGTAAGGTTTTATGTCCAAGTTCAAAACTATGGCTTCAAAACATACCAATGACTAGAAGATACTTAACTAAGGAGCATTTCATTAGAGCAGGGTCTGCAGCTGAATCATTAGCATCATCTAGAAGGCAGTTTCCCCTCCTGTCTCCAAACCCCAGGAGGGAGTGTGAATCACAAAACTTGAAAGACCATTTGATCTGTGTGACCTGCCTGCCATACACAACCTCTTTCATAAGCATGGTATTTTACTACCAGCATACATGGTCATTCCTGCAGACACTGATAAAATTCATACATGACCTGTGAATTTTCTTCTTCTCCTAGAGAGTAGTCAATGAACTGGAAGAAGTATTGAGACTCTACTCTTGATAGATGTTAGAAGAGATTTTATTCACAACAACCAGAATGCTCATTACCTGTCTTGAAAAAAAAAAATCTCATCCTTTGACAACAGTAAACTTTCTTGCAGATTGCTTTCTGCTATGCTTGCAGAATTATAGTAGAGTATGATGGAATGACCATTTGGGGCTTTAAAGGAAGACTGCAGTGACTTTCTTTGTTTAAGGCAAAAGAAGAGTAGAAATCCTCTAACTCTTTTTCCTTGAGTTAAATGGGCTGTAGATAGTGGAGTAAATGACTACACAGGAGCTGCAAACAGACAACTTCATAGAGGACAAGTTACAGGCTATAAGTAAAACCTTGGAGGACACAGAACAGCCACTGAAAGCCCTCTCTGAACTTGTCTTCTGTGTTTCTTCTGTAACCCATATCTGGGTTGAACCTGACTTCTGAGAAAACAGGCGGCCAAACTGTACATGTAATTTTTCTATGAATTATGAAAATATGAGGTCATGAAACTCTGTTTTTTCCTATCCACTCACAGCAGTTCTGATGCCTCTCTGACACAAAGGTTAAGACCAAACACTTCTTCCTCTGCCCACAAAGAGGGACACAAATTTGTGTTTGAATATAAAATTTAAAACATTCACTCATCACAAAGAAAAGAACTGTGTGATATGACAGATATTATGAGTTTAATAATCTTTGCTCTTCCCCTGCATGACATATATATAAGGCAGTACTGCATTCTTAAAGGAAAACCAAGAGGGAACTTCAGCTGATTTATTTATACACTATAATCCCAACACTCAGCAATGAGTTTTTAAAAGACAGCAGTCCCTGGGAAAGGAGTCCAGCACAAAATTTGTCCGACCTAGCGTGCTCTACTATGTCATTCCTAAAATCTTGCCATTTACGATCCCTGTTCATCAGAAACACCATAAATGAAATAGTTTAGCATGCTCTTTTGCTGCTATATTTTCTTTCCTCTAGGGGAAGATCAGCAATGCTGGACTTCATTTATTTCTCAGGATTAGAAAGGAAAAGGTATCCCAGTATTAGACCACTTTGACAAAGTGGTCAGAGTAATGAGATTAATAAAGTTGAGGGCTTTTTGCAACAGAATGAAAATTCTGTATTTAAACAGATCACTCCCACCACACAGAATGACATGCCTTTTGTTCAGTGATTTACCATGTTTAATTAGTATTTTTTTCAGTATCTTAACCATGTATTCAATTAAATAAAGTAATAAACAAATGTGTTCAAAGCGAGGCAATAGTGTCTTTATGTTATTAATAAATTGTGATCAGATCTCTGTGGGACATGGAAAACTAAAAATAAGTACATAATCTTTGCTTCTCTAGCAAAATTTTAGTGCCAAATTTTGCTCTCAGGTAAATTTCTGTAAAGCATTGTTCATAACAGCATCACAATAGAAGGGTATGTTCACGGTTTTAAAAAGTGCCAAAGGTCAGTAGTTGTATCTTAAAGGCTCAGCACACATCAAGTGGAGCCCTGGTACCAGACTCGTATCACCTTGCTGCCCTACTACATGCATCATTCCTCTCCAACAAACTGAATTGATGTCAACAGATTTGGCTAATTTTTAATTTTTTTTTTAAACTTCAATTTGCCTGTTTCAACAAATGAGAGCACAATTTGGCTGCTTTCTCAGGGAAAAGGAAGCCAACTAAACATGACTTTCACCAGGCCTCAGTTTTTGGCCCCAGATTTCAACATACACTTTTACAACAATCAAAAGAACCATAGAAATTACTTATTTTACTGTTCCTTAACACGTATCACACAGTTCTGCAGCAAGCAGAATCACAGATGAACCTCAGAACATACAGAGAGCACAACTACTACACTGGACATGAAAAGGAAATTTTATTAAACATGTTTACATAACATGAGTTGGAAGTTCATTTAAAAGCACAGGGGAGTGTTAAGACAAGTGGTCAAAATAGAAAGATACTATTGAATTATAGCTAGTTGGTTTTTGTCCACTAAGACAGAACAGAATCTAGTAGTAGTGCACCAATGCTTGAGTTCTTCCTGCTCAGCAGGTCGAGCAGTAACCAATCTGTGCCCTATGGAAAGATGGGCAGAATAATTCCCATGTGTTGAGTAATAATAAATAGTTCACTTGGTGCAGGCAGTATGTCTATGAATTAAAACCTAGTGTGTACACAGTTTCTACATGTGTTACAGCCCCACAGTAGGAATCTACACCAAAATAGTTATTAGAAGGAATTTGGTCCGTACTACATCACGTTTTCCATAGGGTAAAAAATAAAGTCCATCTATAGACATTTAGCACCAGACCCACAGACCTAGCCTGGCTAAAACCTGCAAAATGTCTATAAGAAAAATGGATGGCTTAGATTTCTTGGTTACTTCGGTATAGTAATTACGAGCAAACTGTACAAGTACATGCAACATACAAGCTGGCCTATGTGGAACTAACATACATTATTAAATAACCTTTTTCATCTCTTTTTACAAAACGTGCATGCAGCTTTGAACAGTTCCAAGTCATGCTGCTCTATTTGTGTGATCACAAAATTGAATGGCCTGTAAAAGGAGGGGAAACATATCAATGCACCTGCAAGAATCTGCAGTTCTTCGCACATTTACAGAATATCACAAGGGATTCAAGGCCAAGAGGAACTCAAATGAATAAAAAGCAAATTGAAATTTGATTTTTTTTTCTCCAAAAAGTAAGATATCTTGCGTTAAAAAATCAAGCCTTGTGCTTGCATCAATCTCAAAGAAATGTAAACTAAAATTTGGTAAAAACATTAGTAAGTGCAGAATATTTCAACTGGAATCTCCAGTGAAACATTGAACAACTCATACCGTGCTCTATCCAGGGCAGATAGGTGCATCTGAAGTGACACACATCAGAGAAGCCCGGGTACAGCTGAAAGTGTCATATGCTCAATTCATTCCTGGTCAACATTTGGGAAGTCAAATATACATTTATACACAGAAACGTAAGTATTTCCTCTCCAATTCTAGGAGGAAAATTGCATTACCAGTAACATATTCAATGTCAAAATCAAGACTAAAGCTGCTTTATACCAGTCCCCAGCAGTAGTTGCAGAATTCTTCAAAATTCTTCCATGCAAAACATCATAAACAGAAAAGTTATTATATATATATATATAATGCAAACATATCTGCTTTTTACAAATAAAAAGTGGCACTGTGATGATTTTTATTTTTAAGAATATAACTTAGATTGGTCATTTATTCTGGGTTCCCATGTGAAAGACTTGTAAGTACCAGAACTGAGGAACAATTTGAACTCACTGGAATTGTAATTGTGGCTGTTGAACACTTTAACGATGCTTACAGAGATATGCTTCAGCCCTTTTTTGTTTGTTTTAGAAAAAGAAAGGAAGGGTCTCTGTTAGCATTGTGAGGACTTCTACAAAACTAGCAGAATCATGTGGCAAAAAACTAGTGGAAGTGACAAGTACAGAAAAACTGTTGAAACACCAGGAAGGTAACATTGCTTGAGGGCTCTCTCAAATGTGAAAAAACAACATTGTTAACAGAGTGAGAGCTTCCAGTTTGGGTCATCTTTGACTTAGGTCGAATTTAAATGTCTCTTTTTTCTTTTTCCTTTCTTTTCTCTTTTTTTTTTTCTTTTTTTTAATCATTATAAGCATCAGTGATAGCTGCTAATAGATTAGCTGTATGTGATATACCTTTGTTCTGTCAATTTAAGCCATCTCTCAACAGACAGACATTTGTTTAGATAACTACTACAAGCAAAAACAGAAGTGATTGTCTCTCTCCAACAGTGTTTCTTGACCATGTGAATATCTGGTTCCAATTGTTATCCTGGGTGATGTTTTTGAATAGACAGCACCTGCTACTATGATCTAATGCAGGGAGGCCCAGTTGAACTTTCCAGAGATGACTGGGAAGCCCTACGTGTCAGCGGAGTCAATGTTGGATCCACTAGCGATGAAGGTGGAAATAATTTATACCAGCCTATTACCACGCTGGACAAATCCAGTTCCTCCAGAAGGATCTGGGCAACTCCCATGAAGCATTTGTGGTCCATTCGGCCATAGTCTCCCCAGACTATTACCTGGAAGAACATAAAATTAAGGTTCATGATTGTCCCCAAATCCATGCTTATAGAGGGTTATATACTTAAACCTGTGATTATGTATGTTTGCTCTTGCTATTATAAGGCAAATGTTCTTCTGAAGAGTGAATGACTGCTTCCCTTTCATGGGAAAACCTCATGGCAGGACAGGAACAAGAATCAACAAAAAAGAAATGTTTAATGCAATAAGACATTTTTCAAGACTGAAACCACAAGCTGCAAGGATGTCCATAATGGTATTTATAAAATTAAATGCTTATGAGTTGGAATGGAATTACACATACCAGTTAAATTTAAGTAAACATGCAAGTGATTCCCCAAATGACAGCCTAAAATAGGATTAAGAAGAAACTGACCTGAAGGACTTTACCCTGTGGACTTTCTTCAAAAACCAGTGTCTGTTGGTACAGAGGATCAAGCGTCTTCCTTGCAATTCTTGTCTTCTTCTTAGCTATACATGCTCCATTTTCCAGTAAATACACTTTAACATACGGAGCTGCAGACAGAACATCAAGAATGTTATGTTTGGACTTACAGTGCACACCTGAAATGGAGGACAAATGCCTTAAAAGGAAGCAAAGTAGAAAGAAAATGACACATGTTACTTTCATTTTATCTTTGCAATTACATAATCTGAATACAATTATATTAATAAAAAAGATGACACAACCCACAAGAAATCAATTTGATTTTTATAAACTTTAAATGTAATGACCTAAGATGTTACTAAAAACACTTCATGTCAGTAATTTAAAAAACATGTTCTTTTTCCAGGAGTTAGGTGTCACTGACAGCTATTCTAGATTCTCTGTGAATGCTTAGGGGTCAGAGGTAGTTCAAAGCAAAAGGAACTTTTAAGACTCTGCCACTCCAATCACAGACACAAATTGCTCTTTGATCTTTAGCTCCTAAAGAGATTGCAAAGTACCATTTTCACTAAATGTTATTTAAAAGAACTGTTCCAGGTGTTACAATAAGCAGTGGCTGGGGTATTGATTCTAAATCTCCTCTAATAATTGTTTCTACAAATCACTAGAGCTTCAACAAATGTCCTTATAAAATGATACGGTATTTTTACAATATACATAGTAATATTATAATAATATATATTATGTACATGATTGACACTGACAGTAACACTAGCACAAGCTGCTCCCTTCTTGAAGCATTATTGTGTACAGTTTTTTCCATACCTGGGGTAGATTTGGAGCCAGGTTTTTGTGTGAGGCCACGGGCTCTAATGACTTCTACTTCTAACTGGCCTTTTTTATCCACCATTCCAATCTGGATATCACCTAAGAGAGAGAAGAAGAAGCCCACATTTTAGAGAAGCATTACAGCACAGGAGATAAGGTATAAAAGTGAGAAAGAGAAAGACTAGTTTTGTATTATTCTTCTGTATTACTGCGCTTGTTATGTCTCCTGATGATCTCTTTAGCTTCTCCATCCTTAAACAAGGACTAAATAATATATATTTAGGGGGCATGATTCCCTCTCTTGGTTTACAGTTCATAACAGCTAAAAAGAGGCATTTTTTCTTCAAAAGTCTTCACCAAGCACACAGGTGACAATTTTTCCATTTTTATCAATATTCCATACACATTTTTGGGGAATGCATTTGGTGGGACTAAAATGTCACAACATGTTAAAAAAACTGCTTTAATTTCTAAACAGTCAAACTTGTTTCCTTACCTAAGTTTTGACAAATGACATTTCCTGCAGAAAAAGGAAGCTGCTTACTCTGAGACTAATCACTGTTATGATCTAGATCAATAAAATACAAGGGCAATAAAATAAATACTGATGCTCAAAATATTGTATCTCTATGCTTTCATCTATCATAAAATCAGATGAGAAATTAACTTAGATTAAAATATGCTATTTTGAATAAAAAATGCACAGTATGACATGAGCAGCTACATGACATGAGCAAATAAATTAACTTCATCCATGAAATACGTGAATACATATATATTTGATATGTAAGCTCTGATTGTCTAAAAAAAATCACAAATATCTGATCCTGAACTATAGAATTTGGAGTCTGGGTTTAGAGAATATGTATGTGAGGTATGAAAGAACAGCAACAAAGATTTTTTTTTTATCAATTAAACTTTGCTTGAATAAAATCAGTCATGGTTTGCACTAAAAATAGTTCAGAGGAAAATTCCAACAGGCCTTTTTAAGAGCACGTCTTTGTATCTCATAGCCAAAATAAAACATGCAACAGGTAACCAGAAGGGGGAGCAATAATCCAAACATCTTCAAATAATCACTAATGAAAGGATACCACAGATCAGATCTTCTAAAAACTGTTTAAAAACACGGTGAAGTGCTTTTAATTGGCCAAAACTTGAGCCTATAGTAGATGGAGTTCTAAAAAAAGTCAAAATAAATGTACTCAATTTATCTGCAGAAAAATCTTAAATTGCAAAACAAGATTGAAATAAAGAAACAGAAGAAATGTAGACTTATATACATGATTATATACACTTATATGCATGCCAATAAATCCATTTAGATATTTATTAGACAAATAATATCACTAATACATTTTCTTCTAAAATAATAATAAAAATTTTAATTTAATAAATTTGATGTTTATGAATGCTTTAGTAGCAGTCATTTGGATTTATACAGCAAGTTTTCCTTAGAGGGTCTTCAGAGCATTCTCAATATGGTTTTCCTTCTGCCCATGAGTTGGGAAGGGAACACTGTCTTTTGAAATTTTTCTCTCTTCTTTTTCAGAGCTGTCTCAATGTGGGAAATTAATTATTTGTTTACCAAGACAGTTGTAGTGAAGCATTGGCCATTTATAATTTCCACAAGAAGTATTATTACAGTAGTGGATCAAGGACTCCTCAATTAGCATCCTAAAGCATGTTTAAGAAATGCTCATATATAAGCCCAAAAAACTCCAACTCCAAATGTGTCCAAAGATACTTGCACAGTCCTGCACTTTTTTACTCCTTACACAACTCATATCTTGTTCATAAAGAAGCTACAGCTAATAATGCTAAAGGAAATTACAGACTGGTTTGGAAAATAGAGATCACAGGTAGCCCCCAGCAGCTGTTGGAGAAAAGGACTTTATGTCTCTCATGACAAGCACTGGCTTTATCAGTGACTGATTACTGGTCATTGCAAATGTTTCCAGAAGTTTCACTTTCTAGAGTGAGACAAACTAAACTTGAAAAGGTGTAGTTTGGCCAGAAACCCTCTGTCACATCCAATATAATTTGTGTCAAGTAAATATGAACTCTGAACAGCTGAGATTTTGCAGCGAGCTATTATTGGAGAAGCCACAATAATTTTGTGTGGGAAGTAAAACCCCTATCTTCAAATTGTAATTAAGATTAGCCAGTACCTCAAATGGAGCAAATAGTTTCTCACCCCACTTTGGATGCTGCAGTGATAGGAACACCAGTGACTGCAGATAGGACCTTCATGTTGACAATGAAGGAAGACACTTGGTAAAAGTCCTTTTGGTGCTGTAGTCTGGCAGTGTGTGCATTAGTTAATTGTCCTATTGTTCATTTAACAGAGGAGAACGTATCATTCTTACCCATGGCAGGGGTTGCTAGTGTTTGTCGTCCTACTAACTGTGCAGGTCCCAGTCCATCGAGGAAATCACTGAACTGACTGTCAGCGCCCAGCCGTACCCCAGGAAATATTAAGCTGAAACAAAATAGAAGCTGGTTAAGCATAAGAACAGGATTAATTTCTTTTATCCTACAGTTTTACCTCAAAAATACAACTATACAAGGCAAGCAGCTCAGGATGCACAACTACAAGTCATTCTGCGGTGTCAGGAATGAGATGTTTCCCATGGACCCCAAAGCAGTGTAGAGAAACTCTCCACATCAACTCGATATAGTCCATAAAATAGGTCTTGCTAAGGAGGTCTTCAGGACCAGTGAAGAACTTGATAGGTAAATAGACTAAGAATGACCTTGTATGAGAAAACATAAAAAGCTTCATGAAATTTCATATCCTATTCTTCATTAGTGAGTGTGTGATTTGCATTGATCCAAACCCCATCTGCATCAGTTAGAACAAACAGGGAAAACAGATGTATACACTAAATTAATCTGATTGCTGCAGCTGTTTAATGAAGCAGTAAACTGTCAGGTAGTAGCAGTAGGGGTGATTAGAGCTAAAGCTAATGCCACTCTCCAGCCAAAATATTCTGGCAGACAAATCTGGATCTGCAGTTGCTACCCACTCCTCTGTCATGATACAAACTGAACACATCAGTACATTGTATATGGAAACATTCAAGGCCAGATTAGACAGGGCTTTGAGCAACTTCATTTTGAAGATGGCCCTGCCCAGGGCAGGGGGTTAGACTATATGACCTTTACAGGTCCCTTCCAACTCAAACTATTCTATGATGCTATAATGTGTACTTTGCCAAGCTGCTTTCTTATATTCCATAGTGTCCACTTTTTTTTTTTTTTTAATAGATATACAGTCACCAAAAAATAACAAAAGGAAAAAACAGACAGAGAAAGAATGATCCATGGTGGGAAGACTCAGCTTTGACTTCCTTCTAACAATTATGAGAAATAAAAGAACAGACTCTGAACCAAGTCTAGACAACGTATTCCCCAGTAGGCCATCCACCACTCTATATCCTCTTCTTCTCCAAATGAAACTCCCCCATTAGACTGCAAAAATAATAGCAAACTTCCTAATAAAACCAAAAGCATCTAGAGTTAAGATCTTTGATTCCTGCACATCAGGCTTGTGTGCTTCAGCCATTCAATTCACAGTTCTTTGCAAACCCTGTAGTTGCACAGAAGAAGTCCATTCCTCTGCTGAAGACTAAATGTTCTTTCTATGCCTGCATTAAACTTATTGACTGTCTGTGATTGAAGCTGGTCAGAAAATATCATAGAATCATAGAATAGTCTGAGATGGAAGGGACCCACAAGGATCATCAAAGTCTGACTCCTGGCCCTGCACAGGACAGCCCCAAAAATCTCACCAAGTGCCTGAGAGCATTGTTCAAATGCTTTTTTCTTGAACTCTGTCAAGCTTATTGTTGTGACCACTCTCTGGGGAGAAAAACCTTTTTTAACATCTAACCTAATCTCTCCTGATTCAGCTTCATGCCATTCCCTTGGTACAGCACTTCTCTTTAGAAAACTCGTTGTTTTCCAAAAGGTAAGCTTTTTCACAGAAATTTAGTTTTAAATTATTTTTTTTAAAATATGGCTTCTTTAGATGGAGGAAGAAAAGAATCTCATGGTCTCCAGTAAAACACCAAAATACAATCTGCTTCTCTCCCCAGTGGCACTATCCTTTCACTCTTGCCTCTGCTATAAGACATTTCTTGCTTGTTTCATTGGCCTTTTTTCCCAAAATGTGTTACCTTTTGCCACTAACAACATTGAAAACATTTACTTGAGAGCACAATTCTGGCTATACATATGATAATGAACTTCGGAAGTACACATTCATCTTAATGTGTATTACTTCTAATTCATTAAACTCCAGTTAAGGGTCAAGCAAAAGAACATGACCTTACCTGGGGCGCAAGCACTCTGTTCACTTTTCAAGCTTACTTTCCTCACTGCCTTACTCAGAGGCTGATTCTCAAATCAGCAATTTATGTCTCTACCTTTCTCTCCTGCAGATGCCTGCTGTGACCCCCAGATCCAGACCTTGGCTACCCCAGCCATGCCAAATCTATTTACACACAATGAGGGTGGAACAGAGGATTAAGCTGTTCCACTGAAAATGTCCTCACCCTTGGTGCTGGGCTCCCACCTCTCCACTGCTAACCAGGGAAACAGGCTCCCCCAGCTCCTCCCCAAAGGGTCCAGTTTTTTGGGCCCTTTGTCACCAAGGTGAGTAACTGGTGCCCTACAGATTGACACTCCAGCATAGAGAAGGGAAGGAGGACGGCAGGGTGGAGTGTTGAAAGGGTAAAAGTCAAGGAATCATAATGGGGAAAACACTGTGATATTTTACTCTTGTCCCTCATTCTCCATCTGATCTTTATCTGCTTTGGTTTTGAATTAGTCATGATGGAGCCTGTTTTTTTTTCATGGCTCTTAAAATTCATAGCCTTATCACAGAACTATAGAATGATTTGGGTTGGAACGCATCTTAAAAATCATCAAGTTTTGATGCCTGTGCCCCATCTAACCTAGCTATGAACACTCCCAATGATGAGCTAATTCACAGTTTCTCTGGGCAACCTGCCCCAGTGTTGCAAAAAAATTAGAGTGGTGAGAAGATCTGATGATGAAAGTCCCTTTACACAGATCGTTACCACCACCACCACACCAGTCTTGGCTCTTTGTGCCTCATACAGTATGCAGTAGCAATTGTGGTAACACACTAAGCATATAAAAAGGTGAAGCCAAAGAAGTCCAAATCTCTAATTTTTTTTCCACGTTTATAAAGGTGCATTTGCCCACCCCCATTTTCCCCTTTATTTGGGGAGTTATTGTCTAAGAATTCCCTAGTAACCACTACACCTTGACACATGCAGTAGAGTGCCACTTAGAACTGCGAGGATGCTGGAATATTCCTACAAATTTTTGTGTCAGAACTGCCTTTGTTCTCCTTTCCTACACATTAGATTGTTCAGCAGTGAATGGAAACAGCTCCCCCATTCCCCACAGCTGTCTGTCTGACTTCAGAGGATGGGGCAGCTGGGCTCTGGGTTTACAGCTCTTAATAAGAGACTTGGAACAACTCCAAATTAAACCTTCTTTGTATATAGTATTACTGAACAGAGTTTCATATCACAGGAATTCACATTCAACATCTGAAGTTTAACTCTGAGGTAATCCAAACATATCTCAAAGAAGTATCTCTGTGTTTTATTTTGAACAATGCAGTCTTAATTTAGTAGTCTTTTGATGAACAAAATGCCTCACTGGGTGACAGTGAAAATTAAGAATTCTTAAGAAGTTCTGTCTCAATTTCAATTTCCATAAAATTTGTGTTATGTACCTAAAATAGTTCAGTTTTTCAAATGTTTCAAGAGGAAGAATCTTTACACAGAGCCATTCCCTTTGGCTAGACATCCCAAGTAATGGGAAAGAAACTTCTACTACATTAGAAACTTCTCCTACATTACTGATATTTTTAATGACACTTACTTGCCCTCGGAGCTATAACTATTTATGCTGCCATCAGTGGATTCTCGACTTGGTTGTCGAACCATGCGACTTCTCATCTCTGCTGCCATTCCTGTTTCTGTGCTTCTCTGTATCGTGCTCTTTAGCTTCTTGCTGCCAGCCTCTGAAAGCAGAGAAAAAGAAGTGACAGTTAGAATAACTTACAGCAAAACCTTCCTTTGCAGTTTTTACCCAAGAACAGGGATCTAACTTGGTCATTCCTATTTACTAACATAAAAAGACTATTCTGATTTATGAAGCAATCTCTCTTCCTCAGTTACAAACTGGAAATTACTCATATTTAAAAGGCTGCAACCTGAAGATTTTCATTAGGGCAAACTGCTAGAAATTAGATGTCTTGTTAATAGCCTTTACACAACTGAAATGCAGACAGGTTGTGATACTGTTTACTAACCACATACTTGGTAATATGCCTCTAGCCACCTTGCTAGGTTGGGTGACTGCAAAAGAAGATATAGTTCTCACAGAAAATAAAAAGAAAAAGATACTTCATGCATACCACAGAAAAAAGTTAAATACTAAGATACTTAGTATCAAAAATATAATAATGTCTTTTGACATTATCTTACTTCTCACCACAAAATGTCTTCAAAATAAACATTAGACTTTACAGAAGGTATGATCTCAGCAGTCCAAAACAGAAATAACTCTTAGGGAATTTGTTTGGGAAACCACAAAATAGTTAAGCTGGACAGGACCACAGTGGAGCATTTGGTCCAACCTCCCTGCTTCCTAGAGCCCATTGCACAAGATTGTGTCCCAACAGTTCTTGAATATCTCTAGTGAGGAGACTCCACAACCTCTCTGGGCAGTCAGACTCTAGGCTTGCAACTCTAGGATTAGAAAGTAATGTAAATATTTTGAAATCGTTTAAAGACTTAATCCATTTGGTCAAGCTTTAATCCCACATCCTTTAAAATGTAATTTGATTTTCACCCCGAAGTTTTCATGTTTCCCCTGCGTAAGAAGAGCTTCTAGTCCTTTACAGGTTCTCTATGCATTATCACTGATCTAGAGTGAATTCTGCTGTCATACAGCAGAAACTACTCTTCTAGATGGTGATAGTTGTTCTCAATGATCTTTATATTTCTTCCACCAAAGTTTCCATGTGATGTAATAACATGTGTTGTCTTCAAACTCAGTGTCCTGGTCTTGTTCATTTAGTTTAACACAGGTACCCAAAGTTCAATGGGTAACATCACTTTCTCTCAGAAAGTAATAGATTTGACAAGGTTTCACATAAGTACATGCTACAACATTCTTCTGCATTTGCCCCTTCATTTCAGCGCTCCTTTATTCACCCCTGGAAAGTCTGCGTGCATATTTTTCATGGTCTTCTCAGGGAAACAGATGAAAAAGCAAAAATTTCTTCCATCTCCCCATGCTATGGAGACTGAATTGCTCTGAAAAATTTTTCACCTTCCTCTTGATGTTTGAAACTGACAGATCTTGATAGATCTTATTCATCACAATAAAACTTTTGTAGCCCCCACACAGCCTGCCCATTCCCCAGGGTGTTTAAACATGCTGTGGAGATCAGTTGGCCCTTGCACTTTGGGTCTGCAGAGCTGGTCAAGGTCAAGAAGAAATCACCATGCAGCTATCAGAGTAACCTCTTTGAAGCTCTCAGGGGAACAGCAAACATGGCGTAAGTGAAAGAATTACTATATTGGGCTCAGAGGAGATATGCCCACAGTGAAAGGGCTGAGGTTTTCCTCTTAAGCTTTTAGGACCAGGGTTTGTTTTTCTACGGCCAGTAAGCCACACTCAAAAGAGATCAGCTACTTCCACAGATCCTTTCCTCCCGAGGCCAACTGCTCTGAGATTTTCCTGTGGGCCACTACAGCTCATCCACATTGCCAGTCCTTGGTCAGCTGAAATCACATTAACCAGTGCTGCTAAATGTGAGGTAGAGTAGTGTAGGCAAGGTACAGCAGGCAGACTGTGCTCCACTCTTACGCAGTGCAAGTGGCTGTGGGAGGGATTTGCTGGCGCTTCAGTGACTCAGTATGTAGAAACCCAAATGCTACATTTGCTCCTGAACTTTCTCTTTAAAAACTGAGGGTGTGTTCAGCATATCAAAGCTCATAGGCAGGATGAGTCTCAAAAATAACTCAAAAAGCAGCTTGGAAGTATAAGCCACATACAGAACTGTACTCCAAAGCAGGATTTTCACATTTTCTCTAGGTATGCATTTTCCTTCCACCCATATTGTTTTCTCTGTCTCTGTCTCTGTCTCTGTCTCTGTCTCTGTCTCTGTCTCTGTCTCTGTCTCTGTCTCTGTCTCTGTCTCTCTTTCTTGCCAGGAGCTATCTGAAAGTGTGTCTGTTTCCATGTCCTCCTAGAAAGCATGTGAGATTATGTGGTTTACCTGCTGCCTGCATTTCTGGAGCTAGTCAGATCAGGCAGCATGACCTGGAGGATGTAAAAGCCTGAAATGTGTTCAGCTGAATAGGGTTGCTTATGAGTATTCAGGGGTCAGGAAAAGTAAATGAGGAGACTCTAGAGGTAGCTACAAGGCCATCATGGTCTTGGCACAAATTGGTAAAGATACGTTGTTCTGGACCACCTGGACAACATGGTGGATGCTGAAATTTAGCAGTGAGAGACAGGTTGTTGGGACAGATAACAAATATAGTCATAGAAATAATCACTGTAAAAATATCCATTCACTAAACTACAAAAATTAATATTTTAGCTTTGAGCCACGGTAGAGATTGAAAATAACAGACGGATTTTTTTTTAAAGAGCAATGTTACATTGATATGTATAACATTGGTACTGCTGTTTAAACACACTTCTTTTCTCCACAGATTTGAAAAGCACAAATCCTGAAATAGGAATCCTTGTGCATGGCTAAAACTATGTCTTTCTGAGCTGCAAGTACCAGATTGTCTTTTTTCAAGAATTTTTCAAATCACTGCTCTCTGTTTTACAGTCCCAGATTCTACTTCTTTCTCTTTTCTCATCAGCATTTTTACTTTTCAGGTTGAAGAATCAAAAGCATCTTTTCGCCTCCCCTTATAACTGCTATTAATACCCACAATGTTTCCCAGGAAAACTAGAGTCCTTTATAACCTCAGTCTTAATATTCTGAAGTACAATTGGAAATATAACAGTAACCCCACAGAATGGTGAAACACAACAAGAGTTTTAGAACATAGAGAAAATTGCTTTTGCCCATTGATAAGAATCAAAATACTTGTTGCACAGGTTTTGGAAGTTTTAACCTTGGTCACTTATGCATCTCATATCTTACATGATACATTATTTTTTGCAATTTTAACACAAAAAGTCAAAAGATGGTTTATCTTGTTAGTCTGCTCCTGTAAACTTCTCAGCAAAACCTAGTTCTGTGAGGGAGGGAGGTGCTTAGCATGCAGATGATTTGAGAGCTGCTTCTATTTCTAAAGGTGCCTTGCTAAAGTGAACTCAACTCTGGGGTACAATTCCAGTCCTGCCTTGACTGCACAATGAAATAAGGGATCCAAACAACTACCAGTGCTTTCTCTGCTATTGATAATACTGGTTTTAGAAAACTTCCACTTTCATCTTGTATTACTTTTAATCTAACAGCTCTGCACATATCTTTCAAATGCTGCCTTTACATGAATAATACAGGTTCATAAAATATTCAAGTTTAATATCTATGCTATGACATACTGAGATTTTCTGCTCTTGTCAGGGTGTCTATTGGAGAATGCTTGATCCTGCTCCAAATCTTTATTAGTTTGCTATGTACAATTAAATTTTATAATACATTACAGTTATTTGCATGCACTGTAAATTACACTATATTCATTGTGCAGAATGAGGATGTCTCTATACAGACTATAGTTTAGGCCTAAAATTTACATCTAAAATCTCCAATGTTTGTTTCTCTGCTGTGTCAGTTATGTAAGGATTTCTGCATGCAGAAATACAGACTGATGTGCATACATTACATGTAAATACCTGACTTAACAGGTACAAGCTTGAGAAAAACTACTAAAAAGCAATTGTGATGATTATTTTTGCAGATTTAATAATTAATGCCAAAGCATCATAAAGCAGCCACCTGCAGCTACAAAATATACACAGCTTGTAAGCATTTTGAAATTCATCAACAGGCTTGTTGTAGCAGTCCTGCTATAACATGCTGATGAGTGTGTGCAATGTGCTATTTCCATCTACTTATTATAAATATAGTCTATAGTGATTCCTGTTTGGTCTGACAAGAAACTGGTCCCTGATTTTGGTGTCCTCTGACAAACGTAAGCTAACAAAGACCAGGACCTGAGTAACCAGGCACAGCAAAAAAGCAATTGTGCTCTACCTTATATCTGCACAAAATATCAAAGCATCTGATGTGTTCCAAATTTCTGTACATCCTAATCACTCTGAAGTCTAGAAGCCAGGAGTTATTGACAACAGAATTATAGTGAGAGGGTCAGTGATATAATCTAGATATTTAAGGTGGCCTACTACAGATACCTCAAATTTACATTCTAAATGTAAATCCAATTCAGTGAGGACAATGCTAGGCATTCTCCCCCTCAGCAAAGGCATGGCTGTATATGGCATCACCATTGGCCTGGCTTTTCCTCTGTGCTCCATATGGTGCCTGGAGGCAGTTACACATTTTGCTCTTGTTTTCATTCAGGAAGTCTGAAATGATGAGATGGGCTGCTGGAGCAAAGCTTTCATCTGAGGTGCCAAGGTGTGTATTACATGCCATGGGTCAAGGCTAGGGGACATACAAGAATGTGCAAGGACATGAGCTTGGCAGCTTAGTCAATAGGACAGTATTACAGACCACTGTAGGGCAGAAGACAATCCTGACATGTGCTGCTTATGGGGAGAGGTGCCTTAAGTGAGCATTGGCCAGAATTGTACCTGAGGGCAACTAGTTGGTTAGCACCCAAAAAAAGAAGCAAATTTACACACATGCAGCACCCAAGTATGTGAAAATTCATGATTGGTTCAAAAGAACACACCAGAGAACAAAGCGTACATCACTGCTAAATCTGCTAAGGAAAGGGATCATAAGAAGTGTCATTGTATGGCTCAAGGGCAATTCATTTGTAGTATCAAGTACGCTCTTGCATCCAAAGAAAGCCTAAA